TGCAGTCCATTTCTCTGAGTTGAGTCTGCTGACAGACCTGGTATGGCACTTTTAACTGGGCTTGTTGGGCATCATGGCAAGTTCTTATGCCGTCTCTACTGCGGAGTGATTGGACGACATATTCCTGACACATCTCATTACTATCCTGTGCTACAGAGGCCGGACAAAGCCAACCATATACAGCAAAGCAGGCTTTTATCACAACACCATTGACATTAATCACCTCCCATCTCCTGGTGCTGGTGAGTGTTGGGGCAACCTCACCCATGTTCTTGCTTCTTGCACACAGCAAGAGTTTGCCGCTCGGCAACAAGAAACAGGGATCAGGAAGCTGGGTATTTTTATGGGTATGCCATGATCTCCCCCCCCTCCTTTTGGCTGGGGCTGTGACATTATGCATCTCACTGCAATTAATGTCAGGGATCTACTCATTCCCCTGTGGCAAGGTACACACTCCACCAAAGATGACGATCACCCATCGCGCTGGGGCTGGGCAGCGCTCGCAGACTCAGACACATGGTGATGGCTTGGCAATCACGTCGCTTCCTGGGCAACCTACCTCCACATCTCCTTTGACAGGACTCCTCAGGATCTTCAAAAAATCCATAGTCATTACAAGGCTTGGGAATGGCTGATTCTCCTTTATGGATTTGGCCCTGCCCTCTTTTTTGGTACACATTACTTTTATATATATTAAAGCCGTGCTCATGAAATACACAGGCATACTTGATGAGAAGTATTGGCAGCATTTCTGCCGGCTTGTACAAGGTATCTGGATCTTGCAGCAGCACTCAATAACCGCCACACAACTGGCCAAAGCTGACAAGTACATGAAATTATTTGCTTGGGAGTTTGAGAACTTGTATGTACAGGGTCACACGAGCCGCATACATTTTGTGTGGCCCTAGATACATGCTCTCACCCATCTTGCTGATGAAACGGAGCACAAAGGCCCTCCAATTGTATGCTCACAATGGACACTTGAGCATATGATTGGAGATCTCGGGCGCAAAATTTGCAGCTATGTCAGTCCATATGCCAATCTGTCAGTGCGCGCTATGCTCAGATGTCAAGTTAACGCCCTCAAAGCACTTTATCCTGAGGAACTGGATCCCAAGCGCCCATATCTACCTTGTCACTGCAAAGATCTTGGCAATGGGTACCTTCTCCTTTGTCAGTGGGATTGGTATTCTTGCCCAGTGTCTCCCTCTGAGGAGATCATTCTCACTGATGCCCTTACTTCACTTGGCTACAAGCTTGATGATGCACCCCGCATCCAATGCTGGGCCCATCTGCAGCTCCCAAATTGTCAGGTAGCACATTCCACATGGCAGGAAGACATGATGACAAAAGGTGTTTTTCAATCACAGAATGTACTGGTGAGTTTTTGGACATATCTATGCTGTCACTACTAACAAATTGCTCTAGCTACAATTACCGGGTGATGAGACACCCTCATATGGTAAACTTTGATACTACTTCAAGATGACACACCTTCAGATCAAGGTGTTTGCTATGGTGTCCGTGTATGGGCCACCAGATACAGATCTGCAACAGCGCTCTTTTGATACATTACATACATGCGAGCATCAAGGAGATGCAGATCTATGCATTGTTGATGTGAAAGCCATTCACTCAGTTGTTGCCATGGTCCCTCATAAATTCCCCAGTGGTCGTAGATTGTATTTTGTGGTTGAAAAACCTGGTGTATCCTTATCTGTATTAGGTGGCCTCAAAGACAACTTAGCTACAGATGAATAAACTTCTTCTGATTTCATCATATATATTGTCGACACTACCCGTACAGCACATACTATACTATCTAAGTTATATTTTGTATGGATATGCGTGCTCGCTGCAGGCGTGCATGTACGCTGCAGGTGCATGTGGGCGTGCATGCGTGTGCATGGTGTATGTGCATGTATGTGCACTGCATGCGTGTGTGCGTTTGTATGCACAGGGTAGGTGTGTGCACAGTGTGCATGCGTGCATGCGCATTGCAGGCACGCGTGGTATTCCTGCTGGCCCACTGGCCAGGCTGCAGGTGGGCCTTGCCTTACGCTCACGGCTGACTTGTGGCTAATACACCTTGTCCAGAGTGCATGGCCAACAGAGCCTGCCACGAGCGGCGAAGGACACCCTGGGTGGCATACAGCCCAGGGACCGCAAACACATGAGGTTTGCGGAATGGGGCACCTGCGCCTACCTCCGGAAGTCAAGTGGTAGGTGAAGGGGAAAGCAATACACGCGCAGCCGTATTGGTGGAGTTTAAAATGCGTAGACAAATAGATGCAAATATCTGGGTGACAGGTACTTGTCCAAGCGTGCGTTGACCATATTGTCAAACACACTCTATTGCAATAATATACATGTATAAAACAAACACTACTAGTCACATGTTGCACAGGAAGAAGGAGTCAAGGAGAACCACAAAATATATGTTTTTTTCCTGATGAATGCAGCACTTGATATAATCTAGTTATTACTACACTTGATGCGCTTGGCGCGCAATGCACATCTTTGAACAAAGGCATCCCACTTTTCATCTGGCTTTTCTGGCTCTGACAAGTTG